ATCTCCCTAAGTATGCTGACTGTGCAAGCCAACACTGGACCAAAATGGCAAGACAAGATTCCCAAGGCGTTCTGGCGTGGTCGCGACAGTCGACAAGAAAGATTAGATTTTGTTGTAATGGCGAGAAAGAAACCAGAACTTTATGATGCTGCGCTTACGAACTTCTTTTTCTTTCCGTACGATGAAAACAAATACGGTCCAAAAGGATCGCACGTTTCATTCTACGATTTCTTTAAGGTATATTATTTAAAAACAAAATTGATAACGAACTGTTGAATTGCAGTAACTCTCTTTTTAACAAAACATCTTTTGCAAATCCTTAAAAACCTAGAATTTACCTATGCAAAATTCCTAACTTTGATCACAGAAACTACGAGTGTGAACCGGGCTTCACAACACTGCCCCCCCCCCCCTCTTGCTACAAGCCTGCCTCGTAGAGAGGACTATGCCTCCAGATTCGAGCCACGTGGACTTCTGCGAGGCAGGCTACCTTACTGCTCCGTCCTAGTTCAATCTAATAAATTCCATTTCTAGTACAAGTATCAAATAACTATCGATGGAACAGTGGCTGCGTACAGACTGCCGTACTTGCTCGCTGGCGATTCTGTGGTTTTCAAAATGGACTCGGAATATTACGAGCATTTTTATAAAGAACTAGAACCCTGGATTCATTACATTCCTTTCAAGAAAGATCTAAGCGACCTGGAGAAACATCTCGACTGGGCAATTGCCAATGACAAGGAGGTGGGTAAACCAAGATTCTTCATTCTTTGAATGACAGCTTTGGCGTTTGTAAAACATGAACAAAATCAATTTACAACTCTCAATGCCAAACAATTTCAGAAAATATTCACTAAAGCAAGAACAATTTAAGGATTTTCAAGTACTTCTTCATTCAAGCACTTCTTTCAAACACTTCTTCACTCTTTCACGGCCTTGAATTTTTATTTCCAAATTCAAAGACTTTCAAGTTTTGTACGAACCCTGTTTCAATATCACTTCAGGGTTCGTACAGGTCAGGAAGAGTTAAATTCTTGGACTTTTCAAGGCCGTGTATCAGCAAATTCAGGGACTAAATACTGAAGAAGAAGTGTTAGAAATCAGCAAAATCTGACATTGAATTGTTCAAAACGTAACTTTATAATGAGGTCAGATATGAACATGCAAAATCAATGTCCGTTTTGAATGTCAAACAATTTCAGAAAATATCCAAAAACTAAAGCAAGAAGAATTCAAGGACATTCAAGTACTTCTTTACAAATTCAAGGCCTTGAATTTTTGTTTTCAAATTCAAGGACATTCAAGGACTTTCAAGTTTTGTACGAACCCTGTCAGTTGTACCAAACACCGCAGGGTTCTCTCCTTCCTTTGTTTGATTTCATTTTACCATCAGTCTATTTTGGGTTTTTTTCAGGCAGAGAAAATTGCGTTGCAAGCCCGAGAATACGTGCGTGCGCGGCTCAGCCCAGAGCACATATTTTGCTATTACTACGTCCTCTTGCAGGTTTGTTGAAACATTTTCATTCAGTTCAGAGTCGGATTGCGGTTTGAAATCATAAAGATATTCATAGGTGTCCTAAGTTTGTCATCATTACTGAATGAAACTCGGAATTCTAAGGCTTGTGACTGTCTTGTACATTTTACGCGGGTATTAGCTGATATATGATGATGCATGGTGGTATTGACTATTGTGGTTATTGATGATGGTGATTGTGATGGTAGCAATTATGATGATGGTGGTGGTGAAATGAAGATGGTGGTGTCGCGGTGATGGCGGCACCCATGGTTTCGACTATTGATATGGTTTACTATATTGACTTCATTTTTTTAGAAATTTGCCAAACTACAGAAAACGAAACCAAAGAAACACGATGGCATGGAATTTATAGCTCAACCTCAGGATGACAAAAGTGGCTGTGACTGCAAGAGGAAGAAGAGGAAGGTATACAAAGTATTTGAAAAACCTGCGATATGTACCTGTGTTTCAGGCGAAACGCTTCTTTCCATCTACCAAACTGACATGACGTCATTTCCGGAAGAAATGTTAAATGGCTATGTAACGAACCCAAACCCTACCCCCCTACTCTAAGCCCAACTCTAACCTTAACCAAAATAATAAACTAAATCCAAAAAGAAGCAACTTTAGAAATTGATGAAATTATGTAACGTTCGTTTGATGGTTGGAAACGAGTGAAAACCGTGTTTCTGATCTTCTGTTAAGTGCAGTGCGATTTTCAAACAGCCAACTACATTTTCTCCGTTTTAACTGAATTTTACCTCTCTTTTGTAGTCGAAAAAGCATGACGAGCTTTGAAGACTATGGCCTACAGACCCGCTCAAAAGAATGTTCTCGTAGTTAGGAATTATTACCGCCGTATTAGATACGGCTTTAACTTATTTTGTCAATTTTTAAGCCCTGTTGAAAATAAAACACGATTTTATGTACAATGAATGTTACGTTTTGTTATGTCGGTGGTTGAGCGTCTGCCGCGGTGTAGAGAAATAGAAAACCTATTTTTACTGTTCTGGTGTTGCTTTAGTTCCTAAGAACATCGCATTTACATACGTAAAAATCTCACAACTTGTCAACAAGATGTGTTCTCAACAGGCTTGTAACAAGCTTATCAACAAGTTGTAACAATGTTGTTATTTCATCAAGTTGCTACAAGGTTGTCATTCACAGCTTGTTGAAACAACTTGTAACAAGTCTGTTGAGCTAAACAATCTTGTAGCAAGTTGTCAACAAGCCGTGCTAACACATCCTGTTGACAAGTTGTTGGAATAGTATTACTGCAAGTCTGCTGCAGGTTTGTTACAACTTGTGTGTTTTTATGTGTAGTAGAAAACTCTAACACAAGAGCACTTGATTATGTCACACAAAATGATTTACGTCATGATAATTTAATGTTTTTTATACAAAATTCAACGGTTTCAATCTCAATTCTCAACACGAGTAAATAAATAGAAATATTTTGGACAAAACTGACAACGCGGTACAAAATGAACATATATACCATAGAAAATTCATATGCTTTGCATTAGAGTGATTTTTATGTAGCTGCTGTCGGACGTCTCGCCTCCACCCAAGATCTGAATATACCCCTAAATGATGGAAAATAGACGCTTGTGAGTATTATATCATGTTTTGGAAAATGAACACAATCAAAATCAGTTATTGCCAGTTAAATCAGTTAATGTAAAAATTATTTCCATTATATGTAGTATTCTTGTATTTGAAGAAATAGAATTGTAGAATATAGCTTCATTTTCTTGCTCCTATGAAGTTGATAAAGCGACCAATTCATTCTGACTTACCTACAATACCGCATGAGGCAGTCATCGCTGCAAAACATCGTGCCTCGTTCCTTGGTAGACTTGGCAGGTTTATTACAATGCGTTCGAATGCACAACTTCTTCGGGATGGGATTAATTTTTGCCTTTTTCTATACAAAATAAAAATTTAGTTTATTAACTGACTGTCAGAAGTTCGCCGAAAGTCGTGGGTTTTCTTCGGGTAATATTGTTTCTTCCCCCAGGGTGGGTTGGGACCCTTCCATCGTTGCCAGACGACAGACAACAAGCTCCTTAAATGAAAATGTATGTACCAGCTTGACAACATGAGTTCCACCATCCTCAACACCATTACTAGCTTTGTTCTTCCCCAGGTGGAGGGACTTCGTCATCCCTGTTGCCTTGGCAGCGTGTGCTGACGCGAGTTTTGTTTTGTTTGCCATTTCAGCCATCATTGCTAGGGGTTTTCCTGTTCGTGGCGGAAGCATACTTGTGGACACTACCAAACTTGCTGGCGTTGTGGAGGAGCTGATGATGGCGGGATTTTCTGTTTTTATTGGGATATCAAC